GAGCATTTGCCTAATTATAACAGTTCCAGTGTTCTTCATAGTACTCAATCGCTATGCGTTATTACTTTTGGATGGTTCTACTGTTAGTTCTTTTGTTCCTGTATTTTTTACTTGCTGCTGCATTCTGCTACATTCCTTCGCGCGCAACGTCTCTCTCGCCGCGAAGTGACAATGTCGTTCCTACTACACTGCATCCAGAGTCTCGTAGACCCACTGCTCCACTTTCTCCCTTGGTGTCTGAGCGAATTATGTGCAAGTAAGGTATGTTGGACATGCGCCAACTCTTTTACGTCTTTGCCTTTGCAACCAGGTACTACCTAAAGCAAAGTGGTGATAGGTACATATCCAAGTAGTTCTTTCTAATGCTACTCTGTACTACGTTTTTTTCGAATGAATTTTTCCGGGTGCGCTTCGTTGCGCGTGTCCGTCTAAACTAGGTCACGCCGTAGCCATCGCGTGCGGCAGGTCAGCCTGCGATACTTGACAGAATCGCAGTTGTCAGTGGGGCACACGATTGGCGTTTAGTCCACGGCAGTCAGACAAGAGGAAGATGACACGGACAAATGCAAATCAAATGCAATGCGCTCCACTGGCACTTAGCGGCACTGTAATGCTATCTAAGACCTTACAAGGAAGGCCTTTCAGGGCGTGGAACGCTTTCCGAAAATGGTTCTTCGCATGGTGTAGGGGCATGAGCACTGAGTATAGAACTATGGTCCATTTCCGCTGAATGGCCTTCTGAATGCCAAAAACGAGGCGAAGAAGATTTTGCCAGAAATTGTCGTTTTAATCCACTAAGCGTCGTTCGTTTCAGTCATGACGTCGACTGTCCGCACAGTAGAGGAGGCCGGTGGAGGCGACATTGAAAATAAAGTGAAAGGTAGCCAAAAAAGGGACCCACACGTTGAAAAGTGTGGGGAAGTTTCATATAGGCTCTCCACGGTCTAGCTGCCGGCAGCGACGGATGGTTTGGTGGATAGCGATGTGGACTTCGAGGAAAGCCGACAAGGATGGGTTGAAGGTTCGGACTTCCGAGGCATTGCCGATTTTGCGTTTTATGCCGCCACCTCTAGATTGGCACCATCTTGCACCAGGGCCAAAGCAAGGCTGGTCATGGTCGTGACCGGCCTTGCGACAACCTCAACAAGCCGTTAGAATTTGTTGGGTGGAGCACTATCAGTGGAGGAGCTTCCAGACTTCACACTGCCAAGAGTCCCCCTTTCCCCCACCCCTCCTCCCCATCCCCCAACTTCCTCACGTAGTTTTTTCATCATTTTGGACCACATCAAGAGTTCATTCAGTTGGAAAAATGTTGGCAAAATGGTAAGATATCATTTTGGTAGTCGAAAAATTCGATATCATATCATCTGGTCCTTGGACATTGTATGGACATTGCACAGTCCCAACAATTCTTTGAATGATTTGGACAGTAATGGTTTGTTTGTAGTTTTATTTCGACCAAATTCCTTCAAAACTGATGTAGTTTTATTTCGACCGAATTCCTTCAAAACTGATGAAAGGCTCACCGAATTATGATGATTTCACCGTTCTCTGGCGTTGATCTCGCGCCGTTGAAGGGTTTTGTCCACTGTTCTGGTTGGTCATCTCCAATTCCTTCTCCCCTCACGATCGTCACTCATCTTCTGCAGTCACCTCGACTGCAGTGTCCTTCTTGATCGTGTTCTGCCAGCCCCTCATAGCAGGACGCGGAATTAGAGGATCGTAGGTTGGAGACGGGTATCGCCCAAACGCTTCATCTAGTCATTAATATAGTAATCGGGCGCTACACTGAATTCCTTCAGAGCTGACAGCTTTTTACATCAAACCTAATGTTCATGGATGCTTCAGCAAGAAGACGAGTTGAAAAAGAGTCCGATTCGTTTTCCCACAGGAGTCCGCGATGGAAGGTCGGAATCGTGAATCCTATTGTCTTTGCATTGACGAACGAGGTCGAGGACAGCTTCCATCGGATAGGAGCCATATTATAGGGTTTGGTCCCCCATTACAACACTTATATAGTGTGAAATTTGAAGACACCTTTATACTCCTGGGAGTGTAAAGCCTGGAAGCTCCTCCACTGAT